CCAGACCTTTGTTCCTGAGGTGACTTTACTATATTTTCCCCATAATCTGGGGAGGCAAAGTCTCGCTGTGAATGGTTTATTCCCAGAATTATGTCCCAGTACAAGGTCTCATTTGTTTAAATACAACACTGTTTATACAAAGGCCACATCAAAGTTAAAGTATTTTAAAGAGAATAATGCCAGAATATGTGGCTACATATTAAAGGATCGCTTAAGTGCATTTGAACATCTTGATTTTTCAAAGACGTTAGCTTTTAGATGGACGTGTTTTTCCCAGATACATCCTCCAAGTGTGTCTGGGAAATGAGCAAGTGTTTGACCTAGTTTTTAAAAAAATGACGCTCCTCTTTTGTGGTTTGCAAGTACTTTACTATCAAAGTTAATACTAACAAGGGCTATTTGTATAGCGGACATTCTGCCAAGGCCTTTATAGGATGGAGGAAGTGATATGCCATTAAGTTTCAATCTAGGGAACTAATCCAAAACCCAGCCCCTCTCTTTCCCCTCAGCTCCATGAATTCTTGGAAGATACAGGCAGCTGTGGGTCTGCCGGGGCCGTGTTCGAGGCTCTGCAGAATTTCTGAGGATGGGCGCAGTGAGGCGTATGGCTCCTTAGACCTCCAAAATGCCTAGTGTTGATAAATGAAGGTGCCCTCTATAAGTGAACTCAGTCAGCATCAACAGGCCTGGAATGAGTAATTTAGTTGGAAGAGACAGGCCTATTTGCTCTGTGGTTTGGAAAATATAATGTTACTCTTTTCTGGTTTCTAAAATTCATATCCATGTAAGACTTGCAGAATAAATATTTATTTTTTGCTCTATTTTTCAAGAAAGAAAAAAGAGAAGTGGGGGGAAACCTTCAATTTGATAAGAATTGCCTCTGGCATGAACCTGGGGCTTCAATAAATATTGAAGGTATGAGGGAGATTTTTCCATCAAATGACAAATTCTTATTAGCTATACACCCTTTGGTGTAACATTGAACATTCATTGACTACTTCCCATGTTCCTGGAAGCCTTTTAATTCAGGATCAATGATCTACTCACCACATCGTCCAAAACAATGGGTGATTGGTACATTCGCACTGCTACACACATCACCCTGAAAAAGCCAGATGGAATTTCAAATCAACGGACTAAGTGTTCTCATCACAAAGTATGTCGCAAACATTATTTAGGACTGCTTATCCTAAAAATTTATCTGCTATTTATCTGAAATTCACATTTAACTAGGTACTCTGCATTTTATCTGGCAAGCAAAACCCGTGGACAAAGCCATGCAGTCAAAATGTCGTAAAAAGGACAGAAAAGGTTTTCGGGGAACTTTGAAAGTATCAGGCAATAAATAAGAACATTATATATACTGATTCAAATTGTTATTATAACTCCAGTAATATAAAATTATGTAATTTATTGTTGCATAAATTAATAAGTCTCTAAAGCAGTGTAAAGTGAACTTTTACAACTCAAATGTTTTCCCATGAGTTTAGGTTAAAATTTTAGTAATGTTTCATCCTCATTTTTGATTAACCTTCAGTTGATTCCTAAGTGATTTTAACTTTCTGTGTTCCCCCAGTTCTTAAGTTACTGACCCATTCAGGAATTCTTGAATGGAGCCTGGGGTTGGGAAGGGGCACCCTCATGTGAGTCCTTTTGTAAAACAGAGAGTCTTTGGGGGAACATGAAGACTTTTTTGTACTTTGATTAATCACCCCTAATATATCAATTTTAGAAGTTCAGATTCCTGTACAAGCATGGTTTTTTGAAACTGAGCACAACTAAATCTAATTTCTTCTTCACAGCTTATTATTGAAAAAAATCACAAATAGCATAAGCAGCTCCTTTTTCAAAATAAGTAGCTCATTTCTTTAAACCAGGATGATTTCAAGGCTTTTGTGTTTTAAGAAGAGAAAACTTCCTAAGGAAGTCCAGTTAGAAAGTGGTTCAGAGGAAGTGGCAAACTCAAGAGTATACCCTTCCACACCAGACATCTTGAGAAGGTGTCCCTCCCACGGAGCATGAGCCGTTTCCCAGACTCAGGATGAGGTGGACATTGAGAGATAGCACTTGAGGGCTTCAGGAATCTGGAAAGGAAAGTCGGCTTGCAGGTGGATATTTACCTCTCAGGTGGAAAATGATGCTGCCACTCGGGGCATCATCACGGCTTCCTGTGTGACAGTGTCTGTTTCCTTTGGAGCCTTTTATTTCATAATGGTGTCATTCTCAGCTGAAGTCCAAGTGTCCCCTTGAAAAATTAAGGACTCCTTCTTCTATGCTTTAAAGTGCTCTAATTCATTCAAAAAGTATGGAGGGCCTAGATCCTATTTTAAGCACTTGGAATTCATTGGTGAACAAACCAAGCAAAGGCCCCTGCCTCCTGGACTTGACTTTCTATCAGAGGAAACAGACAATACATTTTAAAAAAACATAAGAAATAAGTCCTACAGTGTGTTGGTATGGTGGTGGGGGGAGCAAGGTGGGAGGGTCTGAATTTGGGCTTGGGGACAGATTGCATTTTAAACAGGGAGGTCAGCTAGGACTTGGTGGTGATGACATTTGAGCAGAGATTTGAAGGGGATGTGGGAATCAGCCAGTGGGTGCTGTGCAGAAGCAGTGGTACACGCAGAGAGGGAAGAGCCAGCAGAGAGGCCCTGAGCTCCTGCTTGTGTCTGATCTGTGGTTCTCAGCCCACGATGGTTCTCCCCCGGGACATTAGGCGATGTGTAGGGAAGGGTGCGGGGTTACTACTGGCACCTCCTGGGTAGAGGCCGGGAATACTGCTCAGTACTTACAACACAGGAGGACAGCCTCCCATAGCAAAGAATGATCTTTCCCAAAATGTCAGTAGGGCTAAAATTGAGAAACCCTGCGTGTGAGGAACGGGATGGCGGCCAGGGAAGCTGGAGGAGCGGCAAAAAGGAAAAGAGAAGTAGAAGATAAGGTCAGACATAACAAAGGCTGGAGGAGAAGGGGTGGCCAGGTCAGATAGGGCCTTAGGCCAGTGCGGACTTTGGCTTTTACTCCACGAGAAATGGGGAGCCGCTGGAGAGTTTGGAACAGAGAGGGACATGACCTGCATTAACAGTTTTAGGACCATCACTCTGGCTGCTGAATGGAAAATAGACTGAAGGCTAAGGCTGGCATGAAGGCGTTACATTTAGATGTTTTGGCAAAAACATCTAAAGCCAAATTTTAGATGTCAGACAATGAGGTGTTCTGGGGATTCCACACCATCTCCACTCTCTTCATTATTATGTATCCTAGAATATATATACATATACATATATAATATAACCTCAATAGATCAGTATCTATCAATATAGATCTCTCAGTTGACCAAACAATCAATAGATAGACGTAGTTAAGTTGCCTTTGCTGGATTTTGTTTATACAATAGGATACCTGATATTTGTTTTAACAATCAGTTCATGAAGAAGTGTGCCATGAGTTAGCACAACGTAACCTTGTGTGCTTTACCATGGTCTTGGCAAAACACGTTCACTCTTGTGAACGACTATTTTGAGGTATATTTTTCAAAGCCATGTATAACCTTAAACAGGCTCAATGACCTAGAATTGATATGGAGGGAGCATAAAAGCTCTAGGACCTTTCATCACCAGGGGTCTGAATGGCTTTCTTCTTTTAGAAATGCATTTAATTGTTCCAGTAGCTCATCTTCTCTAACCTGCTCAGCCAAAGCAAATGCTACAACAGCAGAAAATACTAAGGAATTGGGAATTCATGCTTTTACCCAAAGGTCTCCGATATCTGAGAAGCATTGCCTCCCCATTCCTCCATGTGATCTCCCTAAAGAGCAAATCTCTTGTCCTGTGTGCATCCAAAGGCCGTGGGCAGGGCCGCAGAGGCTGAGCCCCACCCCGGGGTCAGGCTGCCTCTCTCCACAACCAGCATCTCATCTCACTGAATGATGATACGTTTAAATGTCTTCTTACGGTATTACTGTATTTTTTAAATTTTTAAAAAATTTATTTATTTTTGAGAGAGACAGACAGAGTGTGAGCAGGGGAGGTGCAGAGAGAGGGAGGGAGACACAGAATCTGAAGCAGGCTCCAGGCTCTGAGCTGTCAGCACAAAGTCCAGTGCGGGGCTTGAACTCACAAACTGTGAGATCATGACCAGAGCCAAAGTCAGATGCCTAACAGACTGAGCCATCCAGTCTCTCCTACTGTATTTTTTTTTTTTAAGTCATGCTGGTCTGAGGAAACGGTAGTCTCTTTGTCAGTGATAAGTAGCCTGTTTCTCAGGAAGTTTTTAAAGGAAGTTTTAACATATAATATAGTTGAATCCATGAGCTTTTCATTTGTTCTATCAAAATGGTTCTGGTTCCACTCAGCCGTGCAGAGGTGTGAGTCGGGATGGGTTCAAGGGAAGAGCAGTCAGTATTGCAGATGCAAGTAGCAGTGTTGGAGGATCCTTCCCGATCCTCACCCTCTAAGACAGGGCTTCTCCAACTATGGTCTGTGGGTCACCTACATCAGAACTAACTAAAAATGGAGATTCTTTGGCCCCCTCCCACGCCTTCCACCCAGGGTAGGGCCGGTAATCTGCATTTCAGCAAGAGTCCCCGCACCTTCTCATCCACGCCCAAATGTGAGAGCCACTACTCTAGCTCATATTAGCAGCCACGAAAAATGGCCTTCAAGGATCAGCCTGCTCCCAGCAACCTCAATACAGACTTGTTCCACACGGCAGATGTTATTCAAATGAAAGATGCGCTGCTAAGGATGTGTTTTCTGCAAGGAAGTGAGTCACCCTCCAGTGCTAGTCTCCCCTATTAATTGGATACGTTTCCTTCGTGGAGCCTTGGGTGCGTTCTAGCCTCTGTTGTCAGGAGAGGACAGTGGTCACGTAGCCTGACTGGCTGGTGGCTTCTCTGTGGGTCCCATCCTGGCTGACTTTCGGAGGCACTTTGATGTAGCAGACTGCTTGAAAGGATCACTGTCATCTCATGTGGCCTTTTCTGTTTCCTTGTTGAACAGCAAATATGCCAGAGGATTATCCTGATCAGTTTGACGACGTCATGGATTTTATTCAAGCCACCATCAGAAGACTGAAAAGGTCACCGGAGAAACAAATGGCCGTGCCACCTAGAAGGGAGCGGAATCGGCAGGCAGCGGCCGCGAACCCGGAGAATTCCAGAGGGAAAGGTCGGCGAGGCCAGAGGGGCAGAAATCGGGGTTGTGTCTTAACTGCGATACATTTAAACGTCACCGACCTGGGTTTGGGCTACGAAACCAAGGAGGAACTGATTTTTAGATACTGCAGCGGCTCCTGTGATGCAGCGGAGACAATGTACGACAAAATATTAAAAAACTTATCCAAAAATAGAAGGCTGGTGAGTGACAAAGTAGGGCAGGCATGTTGCAGACCCATCGCCTATGATGACGACCTGTCGTTTCTAGATGACAACCTGGTTTACCATATTCTAAGAAAGCATTCCGCTAAAAGGTGTGGATGTATCTGACTCGGGCTCCAGAGACCGCTGTGTATTGCATTCCTGCTACAGTGCAAAGAAAGGGACCAAGGTTCCCAGGAAATGTTTGCCCAGAACGGAAGATGAGGACCAAGGAGACGGAGGAGGAGGAGGAGAGAGAAGGAGGAGGAGGAGGAAGGCAGCCATTGGGGGAGCCTGGTAGAGGGAGATCCAGCTACAGAGAAATAGACGGGAGAGAAAACAGCCATCCGGCCTCTCCGGCCGGCAGCCGACGTCACCAGAAGCTCAGGGCTGGTGTCCCTGGCGGGGCGTTTCCCTTCATCTGATACAGCCCACCACCACCGGTCACGGGCACAGTTGCGGATGCACTTGAAACCAAACCAGTGTATCTCCTGTGGTTTATTCTCACACGTCTGGAGACACCTGGGGAAATGGTGATCCTGGTGTCACTCCTTGTCATTAAGGTTTCACTGCTGAAAGCGAGAAAGGTTTGTTTTTCTGTCACTCGGCGGAGACATACCCCAGGGGAGGAAGGAGAAACAGCAGCAGCAGCAAAGACACAAGAGATCGTTGCCTTTGAATTGGGAAGTTGAGGCCCGAGGTTCACTGCAGCCAGTGTTTTTGTGAAGGGTCGGTGATTGATTTTGAACCTGGTGCATGGGGTGGGAAGAAGCTGGCTAGGAACCAGAAAGGCGGTCCTCGTGACTCCAACCAAACCTGAAGCCATTTCCTTTATGTCCTTGGAAACAGGAAGCCAGTTGTGGTTCTCGGCAGCATTCTTGCAGGAGAGCAGAGTGGGGAAGGCCCCCCCTGCCGCACCGGGGCAGGGAGACCCGCTGGGCCTGTCGGTTTACAGAGAGACAGATGTTACATACACCCCAGCTCCGTTCATGCGTGGTCACCAGTGACCAGAGAAGCTACTCGATGCAATGCATCTGTTTCAGATACAGAAATATAGAGAAGATATTTATTGAGATTTAAGTTATTGTTATTTATTACCATTCACTAATGAGTTTCTCTTTTTTTTTCCCTTATTTATTAAAGTTTCTTCTTAAAGGTGCCAAAGTATATGTGCTCGCAAAATGCAAAGAAAGGTGACAAAGGAAATTTTAAATTGGGAACAAGGGTCCATGCTTTCCAAAGTATTAATAAGTTTTTCGCCAGGCAAAAATCACTTACTTTACCTTTTTAAGAAAAGCCCTCATTAATCTCCCCAGTTTCAGCATCTTCCCTGTTTTTATTTTTGAGAAAAAGGAATGTGTCAGAAGGAGCACTTCTGACAGGCCCCCTTCCCAGGAGCAGCGTGCAGAGGCCCTCCGCGCCGGCCTCATTTCGTCACTGCTCCCTCACTGAGCAGACACACCACACGCTCCCCTTCCTGTTGTACGTAAGCTGTCACTCCCTTCCACATATATCTATCTGTGATACGCATACCGTATATAGGAAAAGTTAAAGTCCTTTTAGTAGGTAGTCCTGGATTCAGTGTTGACCTAAAAGTAAAATAAAACTCCTGTCAGGTAACCAGGGTCCTGCCCGGACTCGTAGGCACTGTTCCTCCATCCTCCCATCCACCCACCATCTTCTAAAGAGACGTGCTGAAGCCCAGTGCAAGCCGGCCTTCCAGAAATGGCATCCACCTGGTTGACCGAAAAGCCCCTTGGCCGTGACCTTGTGGGGCAACAGTTGCCGTCCCTGTCAGAAGAAGGTGGCTCAGAAGGGAGGACGAGGAACACGTGTCCAGCCCAGCCACATACACGCACCAAGTCTCCTGCCCACAACATGCACGCCCTGTGTGCTGGAAGCCTCTGGGGGCTGGGGGCATAGGACGGGAGCGGCGTCTCAGACGAGTCCCGGAGGTGTTTGCCTGGCAGCCCTGGCCCTGTATGAGCGTTTGTTGCATGTGTCACAAAAGGAATTTTTATCAAGGAAATCATTGATCACTACCTGAGTGGCGATTAGCCCCAGAGTATGACAGATTTAGCGATCAAATGACCTACTGGCCTCCCTCAAATAATCATGTTAATTTTACAAAGTAACCAAGAGATGGCATTTACCAGATATCCCTTCTCCCAAGCCCCCGAAAACCCAAGTTCTCCCTCATTCTGTCCTTCGCTGTCCTTTCTGCTCCACTTGCATGACTTGGAAATAAAGGGAAAGGACCTCCCTCCCACCCTCTCCTAGGGTCAGAGCCGAGACCTTGTGAAGAACAGCCTGCTCAAAACTCGTGACAGACCTGGCCGCCTGGTCATTCATGAGGCACGATTTGATGCAGCCCCAGGATCCATCCTCTGATTCAGAGAATCCGGGCAGATTTGGTGGCTAGTGTCCCCAGGTGTCAGGCTCGGTTTTCCATACTCCCCACTATCCCAGTTCCCACGGAGAGTCCCTGCCCGCAGGCACCCTAGGATATCGTGGATGCTGACAGCTCGTTCCCAGCATCACCTACACACCACGAGCAAGTTTTAACTGAAACAAATCACTCCAAATCCACAAAAGGGTAAAGTTTGTGATTTTTCTATATCATTGCGATTACCATCTGATTCGGTAAGGAGTGCACTTCTTTGGAAGTTCCAACTTCTCTGATCTGTCCCAGTCGTTTGTGTTATACAACCAAAGTTCTCTACAGACTTTATTTTTGTACAATATCATTTTGTAACTTTTTACAAATAAAAACTCATTTCTATTGCTCCCTGTCCTTTGTACTTGCTCATGCGGGTGGACCGCAGCTAGGATGCACAGTCGTCCCATGCACTTATTATCAGCCAGGCCCCTGGCTAGAAGGCCATCCCCTTCACCACCACACAGCCCACTGGTTGGTCATTGGCCTTGCCCATCAGCTCTCCACAACCAATCACCACCCAAGGGAGAAAACACTTGCCAAGTTGTTCTTCGCTTATTCAACAAATATTTAGCTGTGCCTCCACTCTGCCAGGCACTATTCGAGGCACCAGCCATCCCAAAGTGGCCAAAACCAAACATCTTTGCCCTCGTGCAGTTGGTATTTTATGGTAGTGGAGACTGACAATGTTCAAAACAGTAAAAATATGTAGTGATCCAAGCAATGATAAATGCTATAAAGAATACAAACAGGCTATGATAATAGAAAAAGAAAAGGGACCTGCTTTAATCAGAGGTGACACTGAGGCAGGACTTAAGAAACAGATAGTGCCTGCAAATAAGGAACGTCTTGACAAAACCTTGAACCAGGAAAAGAGGATGGAGCCACCGTGCTGCACAACTTTGGGTGACCATCCACCTTTGTTCTGTATGACAAGGTAGCAGAGTCCCTGGAGCTGGAGCTTCGTGTATTCTGAAGCTAAATGCACCAAAGAGAGGAAATGCCACAGCCCTGGGTTGGGGATGAGAGCATGCTTCCTCCCCCTCAGATGACACACGCCCTGTGTTATGTCACAGGTGGCCTTGTGACTATTGAAAGGTAGCCTTGTGTGCTGTTTTAAACCCCAAACAAAACTGACACTCTTAAAACTCATTCTAAGTGTCTGCCAGCTTGGATTTTCCAACAGACAGCATTCTGAGCAGTGCCAGGCTTTGCCCGAAATGCCCTTCCCTTCCTGACACTCATTGGTCCCCTGCCCGAGATGCCACAGTGTCTCCAGGCCCCACTGTGGGCTCCAGTGTTTGGAGTCCTTTTCCCAGGGCAGTGCTGAGGCCAGCCACGCTTTCTGTGAGCCAAACTCTGGTATGAAGTTAGTGACTTGCAAAGGGAATGCAAAGATTGTAAACTCTCACTTGCTTCTGCTCCCTTTTTAGAGTCATTTCCCCTAAGTCTGCTCCCAGGATGGCTAATTGGCTGAGATGCTCTTCAAAAACAAAAGGAGGATGGGGCAGTTCTCTGATTTGGAAAACGTTGGAGATACGTTTGGAAAACATTGAGATAATAACACCAAACAGTTTTTTAAAGTTAAAAAGAGAAGTGTAGAACTTATCAGAGCCTTGATTAGACCAATAAGCACTGTAACAGTCCAGGAGGGGCGTGGTGTATGGAACTTCCCAGGTGGGTGTGGCCATGGCACTGACTGCTCCCTTGTTGTCTTTGTCAGAGCACCTGCCCACCAGCCCTTGAAACTACCTTGGCTGTTTTGCCTACTCCTGTAAGCATCAGGAAAAGGCTCCCACAGGAAGGACACTTACACACACACACACACACACACACACACACACACACACACACAATGTAGATACTGTGGTTTCTTGCTCAACATGATTAACCAGTGGTCAGCGCTGGAAATTTCCTTTCCAAAGGGAGAATGTGAAATGAGTTTCTCCCATGTCAGGGAAAATGTGTTGAAAGCTGGGAAATTCCTAGCCATAAAAAAGAGAACTTTCACCGTGCTTACTGAAAATCCTCACCGGGCTCGAGTTGTTTTGAACCACAAGTGCTTTGGCTGCTCTGTGGTCTGGAGGGATTGATTCCCCCTTGCAATGGTCCTCAGAGGGAACACTGCTTTTGTGGGGCTCCAGGCTCTGAATTCTTGCGGCCGAGAACAGTGTGGGCACACTGCACTAGGAGCCCCGTCACCAGGCTCCAACAGTCTCGTGTGAGCAGCCCACACTGATTTCCTCCTGTGTGGCCAGCGCTGAGTGAAGCAAAGGTTTAAGAGAACTTTTTGAGGAATCAATCCATTCTCAAGGTAAAGGTGGAAAATCAGAATTTCCTGAACCTATTAGGTCTCAAAAACAGAAAGCACAGCTGCCTTCCCTTCACATGCAAAGTCGCACTTGGGTGGAGGCTGATTTGCTATCTGACCCTGGAATCTCAGGGAGGAGGGAGCCCAAGACCCCACACTGTCCACCTCAGAGCACGAGGGCAAGGAGGGGATGTGGGTGTCAGCCACAGGCTCTGGTGCTTTTTTCCATCAGGTAATGAACTGTCTGAACCCAGAGTGTCTTCTTGGGACACAGCTTTGCTAACAGAATGGTTACTGTGATCGCATGCAACAGTTAACTCAACTTTGGTCCCATCACATCCTGAATGAAATTAACACCAAATACTGCCAAGTCATCCCTGA